TGGATGCTCGAAGGGCCGCAGTGGAGGAGGCTTACGCTGAGCTCGAGGATTCGGATGTGGAGAAGGGAGTCCTGGACTCCTGCTTCGCGGACTATGAGCAGTTCTTGTGGCTCACGGACGAGTTGATCGAGGCTGAAGGCAGGTATGCCGAGGAGGCCCGTGAAGCTCGGATGAGTGACCTGTCCGAGTCCTCTCTGAAGCAGCTTCAGCCGGAGCTGTTGGGCGACTCCCAACTCTGGACCTGCCAAAGTTCTCCGGGGTCCTTTCCGAATGGCTGACCTTCGTTGGTCTTTTCGACAGCCTAGTGGACGCCCGGAGTGACCTGACCCCGAGCCAAAAGATGGCGTACCTCCTGGCCTCACTGGAGGGGGAGGCCCTGGGCGTCGTCGGCCACTTGAGATTGTCGGACGACGCCTACCAGACTGCTCGGGACCTCCTAGCCAGAAGATACGCCAACGTCCGGCGAATTGCGGACGAACATGTTAAGCAGCTTCTAAGCCTACCGCTGCTTAGTGACCAGGCCAGACTGCGTCCGGACCTGTTGGATCCAGTCTTGGTGGCTTGTAATACGTTGAGGCGGCTGGAATTACCAGTGGGCGAATGGGCTTTTTTGTTGCTCCGCATCGTGCTGTCCCGTCTACCTCTCGACCTTCGAATCCATTTTGAGGAGAGGTACGGCGGGGACGAGGCCTCCTATATTCCGCCCTTCTATGACCTGCTGCGGTTTTTGGAGGAGCAGTGCCGGCAGATCGAGAACGCGGCGGGCACCGTTGACGACTTACGAGACATGCCCAGTGAGAGGCTGAACCCGCCAGGCAAGTCGTCGTCAACCCCCCCCCCCCTGCTCCTATTGTCGAGCATCTGATCACCGGGTAACGTCGTGCCCGAAATTATTAGGTAAGCCGGTTTCGGCGAGGCGAACTATCGCCAAGGAGCGCCGCTGGTGCTGTTCATGTCTGGGAGGGCACCTCCAGCGAGACTATCCGCATCGACGGCCCTGTCTGCATTGCCAGGGCAATCACCATGCAGTTTTGTGCCTGGGTGCGAACGGCGTCTCCTCTCGGGGGTCTGCCAGGCCCTCAACCCCCACGGGCAGGGGCGCTCAGCCACGCCCTCTGCCGGGCGACAATCGGCGCCCGCCGGCCAACCACCAGGCCCCTAAGTTTGAAAGGGGTCCCTCCCCCGACCAGTCGGGGGGTAATTCCCCCAGGGGCGAGGGTGTCATCACCCCCCCCTCAGCGTGTGGAGAGGAATTTCACGGCCACTCATCGGTCCGCTGGACCCTTCTCACTCCCGTTAGCTGAGTGGCCGCGACTGATGTACCACTGTTCCCCATTTGATGGAGGCGGCCCTAACTAGCTGCCGCCTTGGCTCCCACCACGGCCACCTCCACTGAGCCTTAAGCCGTCAACAGTCCACTTGTCAAAAGGTTCTGTTGCCGACGGCCTCAGTGAAGGCGTACAACCCGAGTGGCGGCTGTTATCGGTTGTGCTCGATTGATCCCGGGTTCACGCCATGTGGCCTCCTCTTGGTGGTGGGAAGATTACGGCCCCTCTGGAGCGTTAAATCACGCTGTCAAGGGGTATTAGATTTGGTTTGGTCGAGCACTTAGTCAAAAAATACTTGAATTAAAATTAAAAATTGCTTTGGGCTTTCCGCGAAATTTTCCTATTTGTAGCGGTTTAAATTAAAAGAATTGAATTTAATCTACTCCTTTAAATGCTACTGCATGTGTTTTGTACATATATTTAATCACTGTATTTGATTGTTGCGTCTGTTTGCTGAAAGGAAATTGAATGGCGCGCTATTTGAAAAATTATGTAACATATACATACATAGTGTTTAATCATTTTGCTTTGCGAAGAAGTAGGGCTGCCCCTTACGTTATTGTTTTGTTTAATTTGCAAGTTGACCTATGCGCATCGGTGATTAATTTGGTTGAATTAATTCTGTAGTTGAACATTGATGCTTTTGAAAAATTAGTTGAAATATGAGCACAGGACTACTTGCCTAACAGGCTAGCTAGTTTTGGAGATTATCAGATTGAAATCAGCTGCCGCACTATTTTAGTAAATGATAATATGGTGGGTGGCCTGGCTAGGCCTACTTGTTGAAAATTCATACTAGGGACTATCTGTGCGTTTCGTTCGGCTCTCCACAGACGACGTTCATGTGGAATTTGTGGGTGCTCTCTGCACTGAAGCTTAGGAGGCCACTCGTGGCCGCTTCGTGTCGCGTCGCTGTTTGCAGAGCTGATCCGGTCGTATTGCGGAACTAATCATAGGGGCACAGATAGGTGTTTGAAAGAGGTCGTCGGACTTCTGTCCAGTACAGGACTTATTAAAGTGCTGCGATGCCCAGGAGGGGCATCCAGTGGAGGCTGACCCTCCGGCTTGCCACATTAGGGCTATCTTTTGAGGCGTTGGTTAGGGTTGCAAGATCTGATGGGGTGCCTAAGGTGGCCTAGTTTGGTTGTAGATTCGGTCTTGCAACTTGTCGTCGCGATCTTGTAACACTGACCGGGTTGCTCGCGGACCTAAATCCTTATGTCCAGGACGGGGGTTTGTTCGCGCCAAACGCTAATGTCAAGAATCGACGCCAGAGGGCACTCGGCTCGGTGCGAACTGGTTTGAAGTTCAGCCGAGCGTGGCAAGAGCGGGCGGGTCGCGAGCGAAAAGTCAGTCGTCCTTAGGCAGTGCTCACGATTGGCACTCTGTTATTCTGTTAGGGAACTCGGAATAATTCGGCGCGGCCAGTAAATATACGGTCTATCATTGTGACGCGCATTCCTGCTGGAGACCTTCCCAGGGACTCATTGTGTTTGACTCAGAATCTGCATAAGTGCATTAGGCAATATTAGCTAGTGCGGCCTCTGATATTCTAGAACTAACTGTTGCGACGCGAAACGGTAGTGACCTTTAATAAACTGTAAACTCCGTGTTCGTTTTGTGTGTTAACCTTATAACCAGCGATAGTTAGTGGCTTCTGTAAGTTAGTAAATCGTACGATAGAGTTAATTGACTGTCATCGTGAAGAACGAGGAAAGTGACTGTGGTCCGGCGCCGAAGCAGTCTGAAGCGGTGCAGCATTTTGGAGCAGATTGGAACTCGGCCGCGGCTGGTCGCCTATGCTTGACAAGGTCCCACACATTCACACCTCACTGTACACTACTCGCCATCCACTATTACACACACTCACGGCCTGCCCAAGCCTTGGTGCGAAGTTAGCTTCGAATAATGGTAAGTACTATGTCTTTCTAGCGTCCTCCCATCTGGTTTATTGTAATTAGGAATTTCCACGTGGCCACATTGAGGCCCGACCTACGTCTGCTCGGGAAGTCTTCTGCTCATGGGCCCCAGAGGATTGGATCCTTTAAGGGAGCAGCCGTAGGCCGTAACAAGCGGAAAAAAAATATTGTGAAAACGTAATTCCACCCAGGTCATCATATAATAAATAAATAATAAATATCTATTGGTACTTATTTATTCTGTGCTATGTTAAACCTGTGGTTAAACTACTAACAATGCGACAAAATAGCCGTAATGATTTTAAAACTGTTAGTTTTTAAACAAATCCATAAGAAATAAAGAACCGATTACAGTGATCTAACTATAAGCTTTAATTTCAGCTCTATTTAGCAATGTCAGCTTGTAACTCTTTACAAAAGAACAATCAATCAATAAAAATAGAGTAATAACAAAGTAAGCAAGTGAAGATTAGGAACAAAACTGAACTGTATAACATAATAAACTCCATTGATTTGATAGACAATTCTAACACCATTCATTTTAATGTTTTTCTTATTCACTCACCGGGGGGCAAGCTCAATAACGCATGGTCTCTCAAAGCGGCGAGCCAATTTTCGCCTAGGCTTTCTAACTCTGGTTCCACCAACTTCAATAAACTCTCGCCTTTCGACTCGAATTCGCCGTACTCCTCGTCTTCCTCTTCTTGAATTGCGTTGTCTATTTCATTGTTGTTTTGTAACACCTTCAGAAAAATTAAAAATAAATGGATCTTATTATAGTATGTCATAGGATTGATTTTACACACACACACACACACACACACACTCTCTCTCTCTCTCTCTACTCTCCTAAAGACAGGTTTTCGGATTTTAAATCAAGGTAAGAATAGTTATAAAAACATTATTCGACGTAATTAATTATTTTAACACTTAATAAAGTTTTCATCATAATCAATTATTTAGTTTTTTGAACAGATTAAAAACAACAATTAGTCACAAAATGAAAATTGATAATAAAGGCAAATGAAATCACATCCATACTTTTTTTATTACTATTTTCTTATATAATTTTTTGTCTATTCACAATTAGAGACATTATTTAGAGACTAGTTTACGCAGAAATTTTTTACATAAAAATAATATGAGCACCTGATTACGCCACTTGGCCAGCTCGGCTTTGATATTGAAGGGCTTCGTATCGAGTTGCTTCACGTAGCTGCCTGGTGCGCTGTCGTTGCTAACCATTGCCACTATGTACACCTGAGTAGACATTATTAAAACTAAACATCATGTTTTTACAATTCGGAGTACACTTGACACTGCTACATGTCCCTGATATTGATGGAACTATCATAACCCTTTTTGAAATTCAAAAAAAATCTTGAGTATTACCTTCCTATTAAAAGATAACTAAATTAAAACCTACTTAAGTCTTTATTATAGTATAATGCTGTGTTTCCTAGTAAGTAGTCACTACACTTAGCTAAAGAAACTTTTCTGTTATTTAAGATGTCATTACGTAAGTTGACAGTTAGTAAGCGATTTGAATAAAATAAAATAAAAACTTATTCATGACTACATTGGAAATATTTACAAACTGCTAATGATGAGCAAAATTACATGTTACACAAGGCAAAAATATAATTACTGTAATTTTATTTTAACATACCTCGGCCCATGCTTTTAAAATTGACAGTTTTTCAAGTGTTGCCATACTTTCGTTGTATATTAATGTAGTATTTCCTTTTTTGTTCAGTTTATCTAAGCTAGAAACCAGCAACTGGTGAACTCTGAAACAAAATATTTTAGTAAGACAATGGCATAAATTCTTAAATTTAATGTATTATTTTTTGCATGCTATTTTTCATTATGGCGAAACATATGCGCTCTGTCAAACTTGTACCAGCATAATACTGTGTTTCTAAGCAAATAAAGAAATTATTATTATTATTATGATAATAATTTTAATGTACATATTACCTTTAAATTTATAAAATTCCCTCGCAATTATTAATTTACGAGAGAAGCAAGAAGTGCACAAAGATTTAATATATAATATTTTTTTACTAATTCCATAGAATAAATAATAGTACAAGAACAGTGGAGATGCGATCTCTTCGTAAAATGTGCGGCGTTACCATGGCCGACCGAAAGCGAAACGAAGAGATTCGCAATATGGCAGGTTTGAAAGATGACCTTATCACAAAAATTGATAAGGGCGTGCTTCGGTGGTTTGGGCACGTTGAGCGAATGAGTGAAGACCGAATGGTGAAGAAAATATATAGCGCGAAAGTTAATATTAAAAGGTGTCGAGGTAGACCGAGACTAACTTTCGAAGACCATGTGAGCAAATTGCTCGAAGAGGGTAGGGTCAAAAGTACTCGGATACTTAGACGTGCATGCATGAAGAAGATAATGAATCTGAAAGAAGCGAAAGAGGTTTGTAAGGATCGTGACACTTGGCGATCTGTTCTCTCTAGCTACCCCGTCAGGGATTGTGCGTGAAGATAAAAAAAAAAAAAACAGAAGAATCACTCTCTGATAGCAATCTTGCGAGTTTAAACCTAGTTCTAACGTCACTAATGTTCATAATACTTTGCACGCCTCGAATGCAACCTTTGTTGAAATACCCTACCGATTGTTGCGGCGCGCGTATTAAATCGAAATGCATCCGCGTGCGAAAGTGTGTTATCACTTAGTCCATTATGTACGTACCTAAACCTACAATAGGAGTGGCCTTAGCAAATTGAAACAAACACAAAACAGACAAAGTGAGAAAACAAATTGAATCCTTTGATATATGTTGGTAGTAGAATACACCGAGGTGTTATGCAATGTATTAGTAATTTTCTGATAATAAGAACATTATTGTTCAATGGAAGGTTTATAATTTATATGCAAAATCTAGAAAAAATTAAGGTTATAACAACGTGAACGTCTTTGAAACTCAGATAATTTACCTACGTCCCATTTTCTGTTTCACATTTTTTTCTATTTACAAACATGCAACACGCGACGGCACTATTATTGAAAGGGTGGCAATGAGAATTGATGCTATTTTCAATCTCTTTCTTTTATCAACTAAGTGTTTAACTAATAAATAAGTATATTTATGCTGATCTTGCATTAGTGGTCGGTAACTAGTACTGGGAGGTCTACTTACAATGAACGATTATTTAAGGTATTTGACATTATACGCAAAAAAATCGAAAACTGCGAATCTGTGGTCGGGTCTCTAATCAGATAATAAATAAGGAGTCAGTAACTAGGTACCTAATTATTAAGTTCATCAAGCCTGTATTCAAAAATTTTAAATAATAAGGTTTTGACAGAACTTATGACCCGACTAAGTACTATAAGACCGGAATTCAGAATAAATATTGTGACACAGCTGTAGATCGCGCTGGCTCACCCCGCAGGTACTGATTTTAGACAAATACGAAATAAAGTTACCTAGTATTCTGAAATAAATTTTGAAATCACGTTAACAAAATGCGCACATAAATAATTATTAGACAGCGTTTTCTTAGTCACATTAAACAAAATCAGTGTTAAATTATTGACAACGATGTCCGCGGTTTACAAAACAAAAAACTAGTCTTCTCGGCCGCTCACAATAACCATAAGGAGTTACGGAAGCATTGACCGTAACTTAGTGTACAATGAACATACAAGTGTTTGCATAGAGTAACGCAAGGCTATTGGTGTGCAGGCACCTGCGCAGGTCGTCGATGTCGCGCGCGACGCCGCAGCCCAGCCAGGCGGAGCACAGGTCGCAGGCGGCCGCCGTCACGTGCGACGCCGTGTCGCGAGCGAACGTAGTCCCGTCGTCCCGTCAGGCAGTAGGTATACATACAAGTGTTTGCATAGAGTAACGCAAGGCTATTGGTGTGCAGGCACCTGCGCAGGTCGTCGATGTCGCGCGCGACGCCGCAGCCCAGCCAGGCGGAGCACAGGTCGCAGGCGGCCGCCGTCACGTGCGACGCCGTGTCGCGAGCGAACGTAGTCCCGTCGTCCCGTCAGGCAGTAGGTATACATACAAGTGTTTGCATAGAGTAACGCAAGGCTATTGGTGTGCAGGCACCTGCGCAGGTCGTCGATGTCGCGCGCGACGCCGCAGCCCAGCCAGGCGGAGCACAGGTCGCAGGCGGCCGCCGTCACGTGCGACGCCGTGTCGCGAGCGAACGTAGTCCCGTCGTCCCGTCAGGCAGTAGGTATACATACAAGTGTTTGCATAGAGTAACGCAAGGCTATTGGTGTGCAGGCACCTGCGCAGGTCGTCGATGTCGCGCGCGACGCCGCAGCCCAGCCAGGCGGAGCACAGGTCGCAGGCGGCCGCCGTCACGTGCGACGCCGTGTCGCGAGCGAACGTAGTCCCGTCGTCCCGTCAGGCAGTAGGTATACATACAAGTGTTTGCATAGAGTAACGCAAGGCTATTGGTGTGCAGGCACCTGCGCAGGTCGTCGATGTCGCGCGCGACGCCGCAGCCCAGCCAGGCGGAGCACAGGTCGCAGGCGGCCGCCGTCACGTGCGACGCCGTGTCGCGAGCGAACGTAGTCCCGTCGTCCCGTCAGGCAGTAGGTATACATACAAGTGTTTGCATAGAGTAACGCAAGGCTATTGGTGTGCAGGCACCTGCGCAGGTCGTCGATGTCGCGCGCGACGCCGCAGCCCAGCCAGGCGGAGCACAGGTCGCAGGCGGCCGCCGTCACGTGCGACGCCGTGTCGCGAGCGAACGTAGTCCCGTCGTCCCGTCAGGCAGTAGGTATACATACAAGTGTTTGCATAGAGTAACGCAAGGCTATTGGTGTGCAGGCACCTGCGCAGGTCGTCGATGTCGCGCGCGACGCCGCAGCCCAGCCAGGCGGAGCACAGGTCGCAGGCGGCCGCCGTCACGTGCGACGCCGTGTCGCGAGCGAACGTAGTCCCGTCGTCCCGTCAGGCAGTAGGTATACATACAAGTGTTTGCATAGAGTAACGCAAGGCTATTGGTGTGCAGGCACCTGCGCAGGTCGTCGATGTCGCGCGCGACGCCGCAGCCCAGCCAGGCGGAGCACAGGTCGCAGGCGGCCGCCGTCACGTGCGACGCCGTGTCGCGAGCGAACGTAGTCCCGTCGTCCCGTCAGGCAGTAGGTATACATACAAGTGTTTGCATAGAGTAACGCAAGGCTATTGGTGTGCAGGCACCTGCGCAGGTCGTCGATGTCGCGCGCGACGCCGCAGCCCAGCCAGGCGGAGCACAGGTCGCAGGCGGCCGCCGTCACGTGCGACGCCGTGTCGCGAGCGAACGTAGTCCCGTCGTCCCGTCAGGCAGTAGGTATACATACAAGTGTTTGCATAGAGTAACGCAAGGCTATTGGTGTGCAGGCACCTGCGCAGGTCGTCGATGTCGCGCGCGACGCCGCAGCCCAGCCAGGCGGAGCACAGGTCGCAGGCGGCCGCCGTCACGTGCGACGCCGTGTCGCGAGCGAACGTAGTCCCGTCGTCCCGTCAGGCAGTAGGTATACATACAAGTGTTTGCATAGAGTAACGCAAGGCTATTGGTGTGCAGGCACCTGCGCAGGTCGTCGATGTCGCGCGCGACGCCGCAGCCCAGCCAGGCGGAGCACAGGTCGCAGGCGGCCGCCGTCACGTGCGACGCCGTGTCGCGAGCGAACGTAGTCCCGTCGTCCCGTCAGGCAGTAGGTATACATACAAGTGTTTGCATAGAGTAACGCAAGGCTATTGGTGTGCAGGCACCTGCGCAGGTCGTCGATGTCGCGCGCGACGCCGCAGCCCAGCCAGGCGGAGCACAGGTCGCAGGCGGCCGCCGTCACGTGCGACGCCGTGTCGCGAGCGAACGTAGTCCCGTCGTCCCGTCAGGCAGTAGGTATACATACAAGTGTTTGCATAGAGTAACGCAAGGCTATTGGTGTGCAGGCACCTGCGCAGGTCGTCGATGTCGCGCGCGACGCCGCAGCCCAGCCAGGCGGAGCACAGGTCGCAGGCGGCCGCCGTCACGTGCGACGCCGTGTCGCGAGCGAACGTAGTCCCGTCGTCCCGTCAGGCAGTAGGTATACATACAAGTGTTTGCATAGAGTAACGCAAGGCTATTGGTGTGCAGGCACCTGCGCAGGTCGTCGATGTCGCGCGCGACGCCGCAGCCCAGCCAGGCGGAGCACAGGTCGCAGGCGGCCGCCGTCACGTGCGACGCCGTGTCGCGAGCGAACGTAGTCCCGTCGTCCCGTCAGGCAGTAGGTATACATACAAGTGTTTGCATAGAGTAACGCAAGGCTATTGGTGTGCAGGCACCTGCGCAGGTCGTCGATGTCGCGCGCGACGCCGCAGCCCAGCCAGGCGGAGCACAGGTCGCAGGCGGCCGCCGTCACGTGCGACGCCGTGTCGCGAGCGAACGCCGGTCGCACCGCCGCGCCCACCTACACGCACACACGCAAACAAACACCACGCTCCATTACCATTTCATTTTTATATATGTCGCAGGTTTATGGTATAATCAGGTTTTTAATCAAAAACCTAGGTTTTTGATAAAGAACTGGAAGAATACAAAATTACCACTTCATGTCATCATAAACCTGAAAAAATCCTTTTATAGTTTTTTGAGCAAAAACCTGAAGTTTTTTAGGTTTATGATAACATTTAAGCTTAGGTTAAGTGTAGGTTGTTTTTATCATAAAACTAAATCAATCTAGGTTTTTGATTAAAAAACTGGATTTTCTCAGTTTTGATAACATAAAGAAGTAATTTCATTTTCTTCCGGCTCTTAAACCTAGGTTTATGATTTTATCATAAACCTGCGACATAATACACGTAGCGGTACGAATCGTGACCACAGACTTCGCAATACTCTATTTATAGCTAGTGTTGCGCGCCATAATTAACATGGTACATGGCAACACTAGTTACCACCAGCGTCCTCTAGTATCGAGTAACGGAACTAGGAGAGGCAAAAACATTCTAGAAATTTCCATGGGCGAACTTTCTATAACTATCGACACCTAGTCAATCGGGACCGGTATGTACTCGAACATTCTAGATGTTTCTACAGTAGAAGGTTCTGGAAACTATCTGAGGCCCTATATAAGGCCGGTATAGACTGCGACCGAGTCAGTATTGAATTGGCTATATAAGCGAATACTTCGAAGCGATACAACTGCGAACTAAAGTGATCGGTACTACAATTGTGTTTTATTATTAGTGTGGTTATAACTATTTTCTGTGATGTTTACGCTGTTAACCTATGCGGTTGTTACAGCTTCATCGGACGCAGGGCTCGCGGCCTTTCAGGCCGCGAGCTATTTAAAAGTGGAAAGGCGGTAGCTGGGATAAGGATGAGGATGATGATGGTTTGTGATTTGGTATTGTTACCAATCATCATGTCCCCTCCGTAGAGGTTTATTTTGAGCTATCTAACCGCAGTCCGAGGGGGGGAATGCAAACCCCTGCCTCTGACTGCTTAGCTCGTATCGGTCGATTAAAATTGTGTCGAGAATACACTCGTTTTGTGTGGTTATAAGTTGTAATTAGTGTTCTGTAATTAAAGTGTTAATTTTGGTAATTCAATCGGTAGTTTTTAATTGTCTCGAACCCAAAGCTCGTAACACTGTTTTTGCTAAAGTACAAGGTCGCGGCGAGTACCCACCACCCATTGAATATTCTGTCACGTGAATGGTCCGTTAATACGAGAATTAGTTGTTTGGAATTCGCATTAGGGCCCGCGAACTCAAACGTACTTAGTCTGTGCCATAACAAGATTCAAAAGTTACTTCAATTTCAAAGTCTATGCCTCCTTCTACGAGTTCCGTAATTTTACATAAAAAGATATTATCACTTTATCTGTATCCTTATATTTTGTAAAAGTTAAAAAGAAAAAGTAGTTAAAGTTTTATTTATAACTTATTTTATATTTATACGTGGTAGAGCCATGCTGCAGCTATATTATGGTTGTAGCACGAATGGGTCGGCTCGACCGGGGAAGGATCACGCTCTCACAGAATACCAGCGTAAAACAGCAGCTTAACGCTGCTGTGTTTCGTATGGTGTGTGTAGAGAACCGGAGACCCTTTTTACTGGAAACGAGGCATTCCATCTTAGTCCTCACGGGTGACAAAGCATCTGCATTTTGATTCTTAATCGAAGATAGATGTAGATGTCTATGGGCTACAGCAACCACTTACCATAAGGTGGAGACTGTGTGCTCGTTTTGTCACCCTTATCCTATAAAAAAAATCTTAAAGCCGTATTTCAACACTTTATTATTTCACGGAAAATGATGCATGTTTTACAATAAACTTATAGCCTTATTCACTCCTGGTATTCTCTATCTGTTCCCAAAGTTTCATCACAATCAATTAGCTATTCCTAAAGTTCCAGGTAAATTTTTCGGGTATTAATTTTTAGACAAAGACATAAAGACAAAAATGTTAATAATGGTTATTCATGTCTTGCAAATAACCCCCTGAGCTTAATAGGAGCTTGGTTTTTCTATATTACAAACAGACACTTCAACTTTATTTAATCTTAGTCCAAGATACCAGGGCCACCAAACGTCTTTTATTTTCTGACGAACAAAATGTGTAAGATTGAGTAGTGTTAGTATGTACTATGATCGCATGCTACCTGCTAGCTTGGCCAGACGGCCATTTTCCAGGTAATCAGGTAATCAAGGTACGTAAAAACATTACTTCACGTTAATTCTCCCAGTTGATTTTTACGTAGGTATATGTTAGATAATATGATTAAAAATCAGTCATCAATACTCCCAGATACTTTCCGTCGGCAGTATGGCTTTGCAGACGCTTTAAAGCTCTCAAAAAATTACTCAATTTCACTTACATTCTGAAGCTCCACTTTATACATGTTAGCCAGACTTCGATCAACAATACCTAAATGCTGTCCGCGTGAACGTGAACTATATATACTTATACAGCGTATAGTTATACAGCTACATTTGTTTACTAAAGAACTGAGACAAAAAATTAAAACGGTTTTATGTTCAACCCAATTACAACCATGGCATCTAGTAATAAAGTCACAAATCTTACGATCATTAGTTACAAAAAGAACAATTCAATGCATTACTCCTGTCACTTGGATATGAAAAGACATAGGTTAAATAACATTTAGTGTGAAATCAACCTTAAGTTATAACAAATTAAAGTATTTTTCCCGTTATTGCTTTGCAAACTACGTCGTTTTGTTTCGTTTCTGTTTGCTTCTTCGAATTTAGCTACAAAAGTTATGGAGTCGCGGTGAACACTAAAACAATTTATAATATGATCATAAGTTTAGTTAAAATTATTTACATTTTGGGCATTTATGTTTGTTAGTATACATACTTTCCACACTAGCCATTAAATATAATATAGTATGTAGTATAATGATTTTTTTTTATAGGAGAGGGGGCAAACGAGCATGCGGCTCACCTGATGGTAAGTGACTACCGCCGCCCATGAACAACTGCAACACCAGGGAGGGAATTGCAGATGCGTTGCCGGCCTTTCAAAAAGGAGTACGCTCTTTTCTTGAAGGTCCCTAAGTCGTATCGGTCCAGAAAAATCGCTGATGGTAATCGATTCCACAAGGAAGTCGTGCGAGGAAGAAAACATCTTCTAAATCGCACAGTGGTGGACCGCCAATCATCCAGATGGTGTGGATGGTATCGGGAGTTCTGCCGCGATGTGCGTTCGTGAATTTTGGCGGCTGGGATTATTCCGAACAATTCCTCAGAGCACTCCCCATGGTAGATGCGAAAGAAAATGCAAAGGGATGCAACATCTCTTCGCAGTGCCAATGAATCAAGCCGATCTGAAAGGACTCGGTCGTCGACGATTCGAGCCGTTCTGCGCTGGATGCGGTCAAGTGGAAGGAGCTGGCACTGGAGAGCCCCTGCCCAGAGATGGGAACAGTATTCAATGTGAGGCCGAACCTGCGCCTTGTAAAGTTGCAGGCGGTGTGCCGGCATGAAATACTGTCTCGCTCTGCTGAGCACGCCAAGCTTTTTAGAGGCCAATCTGGCCTTCTCTTCCAAGTGACCACGAAACTGCACGTCACTCGATATGTCGACGCCGAGGATTCTGATACTGGCTGAGGCAACAAGGGGAGTGCCTTGAAACTGAGGAGATACGACAAAGGGGTTCTTTTTAGCGGTAAACGCGCAAACTTGTGTTTTCTGAGGATTAAACATGTATTAATATATTGACCCCTCTCTCTTACTCTTACAGTTTTAAAGAATCATTAAAAATGCTTTACAATCTGCGAAGATATTTAACAATATTTATACGTGGTAGAGCCGTGCTGCAGCTATATTAATAGTATAGTTGTAGTATGAATGGCTCAGCTCGACCGGGGAAGGACCACGCTCTCACAGAATACCAGCGTAAAATAGCAGCTTAATGCTGCTGTGTTTCGTATGGTGAGTGTAGAGAACCGGAAACCCATTTTACTGGAAAAAAAGCATTCTATCTTAGTTCTCACGGTTAACAATGCATCTGCATTTTAATTCGCAAACGAAGATAGATGTAGATGTCTATGGGCCACAGCAACCACATTCCATCAGGTGGACTGTGTGCTCGTTTGTCACCCTTATTCTATAAAAAAAAGATATCGCGTAATATACATACAAAAAACATACGCTCGAATTGAGAACCTTCTCCTTTTTGAAGTGGGTTAAAAACGAATGAGTTGCCAGTCCCAAGTTGAAAACCTTGTTAAAACTTCTTTGTATACCTTGTAGTGTCTTTTAACAAACTTACCTGTGCCTGATACTGTTCAAGGAGTAAATGTCCGGGGAAGTCCGGTTCCGGGGCGCGAGCGAACAGCTGTATGATCATCTGCAGTGTATGTAATCCGCTCAAACGCAATGCGTCTGACTCGCCTGTTGCGCCTACAAACGCCATTCGGACTAGGTCCGAGAGATGAAGTGATAGATAGTCTCCTAGAAAATACACATAGCAAATTGAATGAGTCTGAAATTATGCATTATGCAAAGGCATGCGTAGCGCCAGACTCTCATTTCTCGTCAAGAGCCTTACAGAAACTGGACGCTCACTTTACTATCAACCCATGGCAGTTACACAAAGTTGGGAAGATTTGGCTTTATCACTATGGTTGGCAGGAAAATTGGCGTCGCAATACTATGTTTTAATCATTCGATACTGGTTTTAAAATATTATCAAATGATTAAAAAAACATTATTAGAATGATTTATTTTGATTTTTCGACACTTTAAAAATTAAATTTCGTTTGTCATACGACATTAATTTTAGTTAAAAAAAAACATTCATATGTAAAGGTATAAGGATATGCATACCATTAGGATCAGTTTGCAATTTTTCTTTGGCTTTCACGAGATCGAAATGCGCGCTGTCACCTGTTGCCTCGCAAGCACTCATGATTTTCTGAATACATTCCATTGCAAATACCTACAACAATAAAATCAACAAAATGTGAGTTTCTAAATTTAAAAATTTTAAATACACTTTATATTTTCACCTTGAGCTCATAGGGTGAAATAAATAAAGAGCACTCAATAAAAAATATTCGCTATAATATTTATTTTTACTTAATCAACTAAGTATATGGTAAACTATAACCACTTTTAAATTTTGTTCATTTATACTAAATCGTTTGGCCGGCGCTCGCCAATAAAGCTGTCAATCAATTGACTTATTTTTCTCAGACTCAATTGTTATGTATGTTTGTAAAAATCGAAAACTAATTTTGATAACAATAAAACTTAATGAGTACTAATGATACTTATTTATTAATTTATGGAGTGGTGTTGCACCTACCACAGCTTCTCAAATCATCCAGGGTTGACTGGTAGATAATGCCACAAGGCATTAAGTCCGCCCTTTATATCCCTTATTATAAGGTAGATGTAAAAAAGAATAAATAAATAAATAAAACAGTCTGTATCACCCGAGAATAGTACCTACAGCTTTCTATCAGTAAAAAAAAACATCAAAACCGAATCAGCAATTCCAGTCACAAAAACCTTTTTAATATTGGTGTAGTTTAATCAGAAATGAAGACCAACACTTAATGCAGCACAATAAAACTATACAATAGAGTTAATTTTTGAACAAAGTCAGTCTTTAATGCTAGCTTTGTCTTGAATGCACTGATTTTTAGAGTACTTTATATTTTTATACTCTCTTATAACTACGACGTAATTAAGAAGACAAATTAATGTTTCATTTTAAAACTGTTTGAGAAATTTTAATTGGAATGTTATCAAGTTTACCATTATTCCATAGGTAATTTAGACAGAAGTCTAATAAAAAAAAGTCATATATACCTTTGTAGACCATCTTGGCTGAATAGCTGGATGTGTGGATTGCTCTGATTCTGCATGGAATTCCGCTTGGTCATCATCACCTTCGCCATCAAAATCTGTTTCTTGGTTGTTGGTGTCCTCTGTAGACAAATTAAAAAAACCTATGAGTATGCCCTAAATTGAGATCCACTGCAATCTGTCCCCGTTTTTCTAGCACTACATCTTAGTCTATCTATGATCTTATCACAAAGCACACAGATGGGTTGTCTGTGCATAACACTTTTACATGTTACTTTCCAATAGTTTTGCAAATAGTAGCCGTGGCCTAAATCGGATAAAACAATACAGCAGGCTGCGCAGTAAGAGTAAATTACGATACAGTAGTACAATTTAAAACAGTACAATACAACATAATACGATACACTTAAGTATGATACAGTTAAGTGCAATATAGTACAGATTGGAACTGCGTGATACAATACAGTACGAAACAGTACCGTGCGATACAGTAGAGTATGATACAGTAAGGTACAGCACAGCTGGTAAGACGTTCGCGTATGACAGCTCCACCTCGCTTGCGTACAGTATAGTATAATACAACACGTTGCAGTGCAATGCAGTGAAGTGCAGAAGTGAAGTGCAGAAGTGAAGTGAAGTGCAGTAGAGTGCAGTAGAGTAGAGTAGCGGTACCGAGGCGCACGGTGAGCACGCGCTTGGCGAGCAGCAGCCAGTCGCGCAGCTGGCGCGCGGCGGCGGCGGCCAGCAGGCAGCACGACAGCGCGTCGCGCGCGTGCGACAGTGAAGTGAAGTGAAGTGCAGTAGAGTGCAGTAGAGTAGAGTAGCGGTACCGAGGCGCACGGTGAGCACGCGCTTGGCGAGCAGCAGCCAGTCGTGCAGCTGGCGCGCGGCGGCGGCGGCCAGCAGGCAGCACGACAGCGCGTCGCGCGCGTGCGGCAGTGAAGTGAAGTGAAGTGCAGTAGAGTGCAGTAGAGTAGAGTAGCGGTACCGAGGCGCACGGTGAGCACGCGCTTGGCGAGCAGCAGCCAGTCGCGCAGCTGGCGCGCGGCGGCGGCGGCCAGCAGGCAGCACGACAGCGCGTCGCGCGCGTGCGACAGTGAAGTGAAGTGAAGTGCAGTAGAGTGCAGTAGAGTAGAGTAGCGGTACCGAGGCGCACGGTGAGCACGCGCTTGGCGAGCAGCAGCCAGTCGCGCAGCTGGCGCGCGGCGGCGGCGGCCAGCAGGCAGCACGACAGCGCGTCGCGCGCGTGCGACAGTGAAGTGAAGTGAAGTGCAGTAGAGTGCAGTAGAGTAGAGTAGCGGTACCGAGGCGCACGGTGAGCACGCGCTTGGCGAGCAGCAGCCAGTCGCGCAGCTGGCGCGCGGCGGCGGCGGCCAGCAGGCAGCACGACAGCGCGTCGCGCGCGTGCGACAGTGAAGTGAAGTGAAGTGCAGTAGAGTGCAGTAGAGTAGAGTAGCGGTACCGAGGCGCACGGTGAGCACGCGCTTGGCGAGCAGCAGCCAGTCGCGCAGCTGGCGCGCGGCGGCGGCGGCCAGCAGGCAGCACGACAGCGCGTCGCGCGCGTGCGACAGTGAAGTGAAGTGAAGTGCAGTAGAGTGCAGTAGAGTAGAGTAGCGGTACCGAGGCGCACGGTGAGCACGCGCTTGGCGAGCAGCAGCCAGTCGCGCAGCTGGCGCGCGGCGGCGGCGGCCAGCAGGCAGCACGACAGCGCGTCGCGCGCGTGCGACAGTGAAGTGAAGTGAAGTGCAGTAGAGTGCAGTAGAGTAGAGTAGCGGTACCGAGGCGCACGGTGAGCACGCGCTTGGCGAGCAGCAGCCAGTCGCGCAGCTGGCGCGCGGCGGCGGCGGCCAGCAGGCAGCACGACAGCGCGTCGCGCGCGTGCGACAGTGAAGTGAAGTGAAGTGCAGTAGAGTGCAGTAGAGTAGAGTAGCGGTACCGAGGCGCACGGTGAGCACGCGCTTGGCGAGCAGCAGCCAGTCGCGCAGCTGGCGCGCGGCGGCGGCGGCCAGCAGGCAGCACGACAGCGCGTCGCGCGCGTGCGACAGTGAAGTGAAGTGAAGTGCAGTAGAGTGCAGTAGAGTAGAGTAGCGGTACCGAGGCGCACGGTGAGCACGCGCTTGGCGAGCAGCAGCCAGTCGCGCAGCTGGCGCGCGGCGGCGGCGGCCAGCAGGCAGCACGACAGCGCGTCGCGCGCGTGCGACAGTGAAGTGAAGTGAAGTGCAGTAGAGTGCAGTAGAGTAGAGTAGCGGTACCGAGGCGCACGGTGAGCACGCGCTTGGCGAGCAGCAGCCAGTCGCGCAGCTGGCGCGCGGCGGCGGCGGCCAGCAGGCAGCACGACAGCGCGTCGCGCGCGTGCGACAGTGAAGTGAAGTGAAGTGCAGTAGAGTGCAGTAGAGTAGAGTAGCGGTACCGAGGCGCACGGTGAGCACGCGCTTGGCGAGCAGCAGCCAGTCGCGCAGCTGGCGCGCGGCGGCGGCGGCCAGCAGGCAGCACGACAGCGCGTCGCGCGCGTGCGACAGTGAAGTGAAGTGAAGTGCAGTAGAGTGCAGTAGAGTAGAGTAGCGGTACCGAGGCGCACGGTGAGCACGCGCTTGGCGAGCAGCAGCCAGTCGCGCAGCTGGCGCGCGGCGGCGGCGGCCAGCAGGCAGCACGACAGCGCGTCGCGCGCGTGCGACAGTGAAGTGAAGTGAAGTGCAGTAGAGTGCAGTAGAGTAGAGTAGCGGTACCGAGGCGCACGGTGAGCACGCGCTTGGCGAGCAGCAGCCAGTCGCGCAGCTGGCGCGCGGCGGCGGCGGCCAGCAGGCAGCACGACAGCGCGTCGCGCGCGTGCGACAGTGAAGTGAAGTGAAGTGCAGTAGAGTGCAGTAGAGTAGAGTAGCGGTACCGAGGCGCACGGTGAGCACGCGCTTGGCGAGCAGCAGCCAGTCGCGCAGCTGGCGCGCGGCGGCGGCGGCCAGCAGGCAGCACGACAGCGCGTCGCGCGCGTGCGACAGTGAAGTGAAGTGAAGTGCAGTAGAGTGCAGTAGAGTAGAGTAGCGGTACCGAGGCGCACGGTGAGCACGCGCTTGGCGAGCAGCAGCCAGTCGCGCAGCTGGCGCGCGGCGGCGGCGGCCAGCAGGCAGCACGACAGCGCGTCGCGCGCGTGCGACAGTGAAGTGAAGTGAAGTGCAGTAGAGTGCAGTAGAGTAGAGTAGCGGTACCGAGGCGCACGGTGAGCACGCGCTTGGCGAGCAGCAGCCAGTCGCGCAGCTGGCGCGCGGCGGCGGCGGCCAGCAGGCAGCACGACAGCGCGTCGCGCGCGTGCGACAGTGAAGTGAAGTGAAGTGCAGTAGAGTGCAGTAGAGTAGAGTAGCGGTACCGAGGCGCACGGTGAGCACGCGCTTGGCGAGCAGCAGCCAGTCGCGCAGCTGGCGCGCGGCGGCGGCGGCCAGCAGGCAGCACGACAGCGCGTCGCGCGCGTGCGACAGCGCGCTCTCGTCCCGCTCCGTGTCCAGGTACGCGAACAGCGCGCCCGGCAGCCCGCTCTCCGTTATCGTCACGCCTGCATCAACACACACCGATAAACAAACACTTCTACCTATACTACTATACGGGCTCTGCACCCTAATACATTACGAACTAAGTTGCGCTCAATTCTACGTAACTTCTTTAGTCGACTGAGAACAGGCGGAAGACTATACTAATATTAAACACTCGTTACCCGCGGTGCCATAAATTATCGGTGCGCCAGTGACAGATGCGTGCGGTGCGTTACTTATCGATATCCGTTTATTGATTCCTAGAAGGAAGAAGAAGAATTGTTCGCTGCCACGCAATAGTTAATTAATAAGTGCGGGTAATTTAATAATTATTAATTACATTTAGAGGGAATAAATACCTATTTTAATATGCTTCTATAGTCATTTGGGTGTTGCCGTTATGTTTTAGCATAAGTTAAAATGAACGCTTTTTGGAAAGCAATACTAAATGTGTTGAAACAATCAACCTCAAGCGCGCATTTTATTAAAAATGTGCTAACTTTTTTAACGGAAGTTAAAGAAAATGTCGAAAAATTGAAAAGTTTCAACCAAGCTCGTGAAATAACTGCCAAGATTTGTGGGGTCAGTTTAAAAACTGTTTAAACTGACTACTTTGTACTAGTTTGACAGAGCTATCAGTTATTATAATGGACAACGCCAGCTACCAGCCACAGCAAGTAAACCGTACACCTACATTGGCATCTAAGAAATGTGAAATACAAACAGGAACATATTAAATTTCCAGAGTCAGAGCTTAAAGTAAAACTTTTACAGAAAATAAAAAGACATCGCGCGGATAAATTAACGCTTAAAAGAAACGCAAGAGAATAATATTTTCTAATATTTATTTAAGCTTATTGTATGTCAAGGGTAAACGTAATACCACCATATTTTGAACACATCTCAACTACCCTTTTGTAGGACGTTCCATTTTACATTTTACTTGACTTAATTGAACTATGTTTCTGAGTTTTAAACATTATTTTATGTTTTATTTAATCAATAACTATTTCTTTATTACTCTTTGTATAGTACAGATTAATTAAAAATAACACGAGTGCACGAGCACAAGCGCACGAGTGAAACGGATTTTTTTGACATTTGTTCTACAATTAGCATCGACGCAGTCCTCCGTTGTTGCCAAAGAGAATATAATCACTTGTTGAGTTTGCATCTCGTTGTGTTTTGTGCCATTTTGTGTGTTTTTCATGGATCATATAGAATAGAAATGTGTAGAGATACACAAGATTTTTCTCAGTATAATCTCAGAGGAAGTGGTGATAGAACATTAATAAGAGAAAGAAAAATTAAGTATTTGGTAACGGCAAATCCTAACCTAGAGTAACATTAATATTTTTGGGCTTCGTAGCGTTTAAATCGTAAAAATGACTACAGGATATTATTTTCTAAACTTACAGGAAGTTTTTCTACCATACCTTATACATAAACTTTTACTATCAAGTTTTTAAATGTATGAAAAGTGGGCATGGTTCTTTCTGACGTAGAGCAATTAATTCACACAACCATTGCAAATGTAACTGTAGAAAATTGGCAGAAATGTTTTTACACGCCGTAGCACTTCAAGAAGAAATGCGTAGAAAGCATATATATATGAGCGCCTCTGACTGAGAGTGACTCTGACTCGGACGAAGATTATCTATTGTATACCAATTTAAAATTTTTATTCATTTTATGTATTGTATGTTGTTTGACCAATAATAAATGTAAATATTGAATAGTTTTCTTTTTACTTTGCATTCTTTACATTTTCATAATATACACATCGGCAGCACAGTCGTGCGTCACAAAGTCTGCCGCAAGGTCCGTAAGTGCGACAGAGAAAGCAACAGGCGGCGTCCTGTTTCCACATTTTATTGCACCGCGTATTTAACATTAGTACAGGTCATCAATATATGCGTACTACGTACCAGATTGCTCATTCCAAACATACACTTTGTTCAACTGAACTGTACTGCAATCCGTACAGTGTGTCATTTAGTGGGGTTTCAATCTACTAGTTAGTCTGTGGTTTCAATATTCATGCACTGTGGAGCGTCGCTAATAATACAAGATTTCAAATTAAAGCTTAAATTAAAAACTGACCGCGCAGATGCGACGCGCTTAAATCAACTGCGTATGCGCGAAGATAGAGTAGTGCACATTTTTTGTTTAGAATGGCTTCTCTAGTACGTAGTACATATAACCAATGGTACAGGTTCTTTGTTTTGTAAGCTGTGAACGTTGCTTTAGAAAATCTAACAATGATTTTGTTTAATGTGACTAAGAAAACGCTGCCATAATTTATGCGCGCAATTTATCAACGTGATTTGATAAATTCAGATAAGTATGTAAAATTATGTCGTATGTCGCGTAAATGAAAACAACTGCATGGCATATTAACCGTGCGAGCTACCCACCCATGCCCGCGCTTTAATGATAAATTTTGCGCTATGACAAATTTTGTTCTAAATTGCCGCTCTAATAGTACACATGAAATACTTTGAAGCTAAAACTACTGCCTACTCGTACATACGTCTCACAGCTAGAAAAGTGACATGACCATCCACCACACCCAAACACTGTCTATGATGTCATATATAAAGCTATTGCTTGGCTTTCGATAGATAATAGATAGGTTATCTTTTTAAACGATTATCTATGGACGTCACAAACGGTTTTAAAATTGAAGTTCTGTCGGTTTTTCTATAATACGTTTATATCTAAAATATAAAAATTACAGTTATATGTCTTTATTCGTTTAAGTTTATACGAGTAATTTATACTCAATTAAAATGAAGGAAAATTTGATAGCACACATATATATTTAAGAATATTCATACCACAATATGGTCTTGCAGGAACATGATCTTTAGCTAGCAAGGCGTAACGGCAAACCTCCGCTGCTTCTTTCTGCGATAACTGTCTCAAGCAGCAAAGTGCAGCACGTCTGACTGCTAGTTCAGAGCTTGATAAATCACGCTAAAAAAATGGAAGAAAGAGAATCATTAATAAAGAACCTTCGCATCTGTTAACCTATATCCCATCGCCAACTTGTTTTGCCAACAAATTTGATATCTCGTTTAACCTCTCATCATTCATCATCATCATTACAGCCCTTCACAAGTCCACTGCTGAACATAGGCCTCCCCCAAAGAATGCCACAAAACACGGTCCTGAGCCACCTGCATCCATCGACTTCCTGCATGTCTTACCAGGTCGTCACTCCATCTCGTGGGGGGACGCCCTACACTTCGCCTACCGGTACGAGGCCGCCACTCGAGAACCTTTCTTCCCCATCGGTTGTCGGTTCTTCGAGCTATATGGCCGGCCCACTGCCACTTCAGCTTACTAATCCGTTGGGCTATGTCGGTCACTCTGGTTCTACTGCGGATATCCTCATTCCTAAGTTTATCACGCAGAGAAACTCCGAGCATAGCCCTCTCCATAGCTCGCTGAGCGACCTTGAGCTTCCTCATACGGCCAGCAGTGAAGGACCACGTCTCAGTTCCGTAAGTCATCACTGGCAACACGCACTGGTTGTACAATTTCGTTTTCAGGTTTTGAGGTATGTCTGACGAGAAGATGTGTCGTAGCTTCCCGAACGCTGCCCAGCCGAGTTGAATCCGTCGATTTACCTCTCGGTCGAAGTTGGACTTACCCAGTCGGACTATTTGTCCCAGGTAAACATACTCGTCAACAACTTCGAGCTTAGTGTTCCCAACAACTATCGGCATAGGTGTGACATGGACATTAAACATGATCTTAGTTTTGTCCATGTTCATCTTAAGACCTATCCGTTGGGAAACACTATTGAGTTCATTGAGCCTAGTGCTTAGGTCCTCCAGCGATTCTGCCATAAGGACTATATCGTCGGCAAATCGAAGGTGAGTGATGTACTCGCCATTGATGTTGATACCGTATCCTTTCCAGTCCAGAAGCTTGAAAACGTCTTCCAATGCAGCGGTGAAGAGTTTCGGGGATATGACGTCACCCTGTCTTACACCTCTCTGCAATTGGATAGGTTTCGTACTCTGGTTCTGTACTCGGATAGCCATCGTAGCCCTACTGTACAAGCACTTCAACACTTCGATATACCGACAGTCAACTTGGCACCGCTGAAGGGACTGCAGCACCGCCCAAATTTCGACGGAATCAAAGGCTTTCTCATAGTCCACATACGCCAGACATAGTGGCAAATTGTACTCTTCGGACTTCTGTACAACTTGCCGAAGGGTATGTATGTGGTCTATGATGCTAAAGCCCTTTCGGAAACCGGCTTGTTCGGGAGGCTGGAAGTCGTCAAGTCTGCGCGCGAGACGATTCGTAATGACTCTCGAAAACAGCACGTAGACGCGGCTCAGAAGGGAAATCGGTCTGTAGTTCTTCAAGAGAGCGTTGTCACCTTTCTTGAAGAACAAGACCACCGCACTTCTGCTCCACGCCTCCGGTGTAATGCCACCATGGAGGACGGAATTAAAGAGCTTCTGAAGGACTTCAAGTACCGGTCTTCCACCCGCTTTCAGAAGCTCCGCTGTAATTCCATCCTCGCCTGGGGCCTTACCGTTTTTAAGGTGCTGGAGAGCCATCCTAATCTCGCTCAGACTGACATCCGGGATATCTTCGGAATAGTGTCGGATGAGACTCGCTCTTGGATCGTTACTCACACTTGCGTGTGGCTCCAACGATGATGTGTACAGCTGCCCATAGAACCTCTCAATCTCACTCAAAATCTCAGGTGTCCCGGAAACGATGCTGCCACATTCTGTCTTCAGCTTTGACAGTTGGCTCTTTCTGGCAGACAGATCTCTGGCAAAGACTTTGGAGCCTTGGTTCCGCTCGATCGCATCTTCAATACGAGCTGTATTGAAGTTGCGTAAGTCCCGCCGCATGCATTTGGAGATCTGTCTGTTCAGATGCCTGTATGCTGTCAAGTCTGTTGAAGAATGTAGCTTCATCTCCCGTCTAACAGCCATGAGATTAAGAGTGTGATCGGAGAGTTTTTGTGTTCTTCTGCGGCGGGTCTTGCAGAACTTAGCTCCAACCGCATGGACAGTTTCCACGAGCTTGTCATTCATATCGTCTACTTCATTGCAGTCTTCTAGGCACTGAAAACGGTTTTGTAACTCGAGCTGAAAGGTTTCGGTTTAACCTCTAGCGGTCCTCTTTTCAAATTACTTTAGTGTGATATAGATTTCAGCCCAGGTACTAAAATACGATATCTCGATTTCCGTACCAGTGTGAATCCTAAAGGACATGAAACTTAATATGGAATAAAATTTAAATTAAGCGCGCTACGCCCACGCATGTTACTGCTTTTTTATTGTAGAACTGTATTTAACCAATGAAGTTATTCCGTTTAATAAGTTAATAATTTTATTGTGAATAAGAAAAAATATGCACGAGCAACGGGAAAGGTAAGTTAAATCGTATTAAACCTGACTTTTTTATTGTTCTTACGCCATTATTTGATTGGATTTCATTTCGTCTGGGAGCAAACAATTCAATTAGGATAAAATTATGACGTTTTTTAAAATTTTAATGGATAAAATATATGTTTGTACTTTAAAACGGTTGTGGGCTGGTACTATTTTAGAAACTCCATATTTTATGTGATATTTAAAGTACATTGGGCCGAAAGTAATTATTTTTCATTAGTTCGTTCAGATTCAAGATTCAAAGATAGATTTTTTTCATCTAGTGATAATGAGTACAACATCCTTATTTGTACTTATATTAAAACGGGATGGTAAGATTGCGAAGTACGGGAACTTTAATGAAAAATTGTATATCTAGAGACGTTAGATTACTCTTAGAAGATAAAGATCTTAAAAAGAAGGGAAGAGGCAGTTTAAAGTTATACGTCAGGACGATAAAACATAGATATGTGATAATTAAATCATAGTGTTAAGACGAAATATAACTAAAAAACGTTCTTGAGGTTTCTTGATTTCTTTTTTTATTTTGTTGTTTTATGTCGGTTTTTAACTAATTGCAAGGAAATAACGGTTAAATTATGTGGACAACAGGTAAATACTTTATTGAATTCGTTTTGTTAAAGTTTATAAAATATCTTACGGTTAGAGTTCATTAATCATTTATTACAACAATATTTATTTACAATAGTTTATCCCGATTGTCGTTTATTAAGGATATCTAAAATGTGCCATGCGATGTAATAGCCCATTAAACTAACTGCATTTATTTGAATTTTCCAACGAATTTTTACAATATTTAGTATCACCTTATCACCCTCTTAATATATAAAAACAATCAGATATCAGTTACATTAAAAAAAAAAACAATAAAATTATGTCTGGGCGGCTAGCACATCATAAGGAATGTCCATTAAAAATTACGTGTGGGCAGTATTTATATACTTGCAAATATATTGCAGGGTCGCTAAAGCTTAAACGACATTGTTATATCCCCATAAACAGAGGCCTTAAAACGCCTGTTACAACCACACAAAACCAAATGAGATAATGTACACTTTGATGCCACAATCACAGGACGTACAACATAATAGTTCAATAACTAAATTGCGAGTATATAACTATTAAAATCGAAAAATAGGGGAGTAAGCATAAAAGCGACGGCACGGTTGTGTGAGGGAACTCACGCAGAGCTGCGGCACGAGCGTGTGCAGGTTGATGCTGCGCGGGGAGAACATCTGCAGCTGCTGCAGGCAGCCGATGCTCTCGGCGCGCGCTCCCCCGCCGCTGCACTCCTGCAGCGCGGCACACGCGCACAGAAATCTACTCACCGCACCACTTCCCACTGTCAACATTAAATAGTATTTCTTTTACGTCGGATGCCGACCGACTTTTCGCGATAAAATATTTTATTGGAAAATTATTACGTTGCAAACGTAAAAACAAACGCAGATAATAATCTTATTGCGAGTACTTCTTCATTCTTTTTCATTCATTTATCGTTACAGCCCTTCACAAGTCTACTGCTGAATATAGGTGTCCTCCAAAAAATGCCACAAAGCGCGGTACCTAGCCACCTGCATCCATCGACTTCCTGCATGTCTTACCAGGTTAACTCCATCTAGTAGGGTCGCATAAACACTTCGCCTACCGGTACGAGGCTGCCACTCGAGAACCTTTTTTCCCTATCGGTTGTCGGTTCTTCGTTTCGTCGGGCTATGTCGGTGACTCTGGTTCTACTGCGGATATCCTCATTTTTAAATTTATCACGCAGAGAAAATGTGAAATGAGAGCTTTCGATCAAATACAACACGAGTCATAACATGAATATTGATTTTATAATCGTAACAGATAGGGAACGACCGTAAGACATTGAGTAACACTAAAACTAAGTAAACTCCATTTTATGCTTAACACTCCAATCGGCTACTGATTTTATCTCCGTGAACAATTTTAAATCGTCTTCGTACAGCAAACATTTCGAGTGTGCGACCACTGCCGGGAGGTCATTTATCACAATCAAAAAGAGCAGAAGGCGAAGAATCGATCCTTGACTGACACCTGAGCGCGTGTGACAGGGTAGGCTTGACTTGTATATACCGAACCTGACATACTGCTGGCGATCGCGAAGGTAGTCTGCGATTAACCGAAGAACACCTGGGGCAAATCCTACCGCTGCAAGCTTATCAAGAAGCAATTTTTTAATGAGTACGACATTAAGGAAAGAACAAGAAAAATTAGCGATGGAATATACAACACATGAATATAAATTAATATTTCATGAAATTTAGATTTCATAGGTTTTATTAAATAAAATATATGCTTAAAGTATACACTGCACAGTCTGTAATATCACAGGCTTCTTCTCAATTCCGAGTACTTTTGAAGCAGGAATTCGCCATACTGTCCCAATGCGCGGCCTATTGGCGGGCTTCACGTGTCTTCATAGTATTTTTAAATTCTCGGACATGCAAGTTTCCTACAATATTTTCCTTCACTACCAAAAGCGTAGTAAGTCGTACCTTAAAATTAAGATTTTAATTAACATTTTCATTAAATTCTGTTTGCTCGCGTACTTAAAATTTTAAAAAGAGCGCTTTTCCTTTGAGCTGCTTCGGCACTTATTCAGATGTTTTATTTTTTATAAAATAAGGTCTATTCTGAATAATGAAAAAAAACGTTTTCAACGTGGTAGAGCCATGCTGCAGCAATATTAATAGTATAGTTGTAGCTCTCAGAGAGTACCAGCGTAAAATAGCAGCTTACTGCTGCTGTGTTTCGTATGGTGAGTGTAGAGAACCGGAGACCCATTTTACTCGAAAAGAGGCATTCCATCTTAGTCCTCATGGGTGACAACGCATCCGCATCTGCATTTGTATTCGCAAACGAAGATAGATGTAGATGTCTATGGGCTACAGCAACCACTTATCATCAGGTGGACTGCGTGCTCGTTTGTCACCCTTATTCTATAAAAAAAGTATATACCAAATCTAGCCATTTTTATACGTTATCTTATAGAAGATGAGATACAGATGTATTACAGGAACGAAATAAAAAAATACAAAATTTGTTTACGAAAGGTATTAAAAAATTAAAGAAGTTATATCATTAATTATATCAATAATCATTCTGAAAAATAAAATACTATGCCGTTGATTGTACTCGTTTTCATTTAAAAAATTGTCTCTCATTTAAAAGCCTACTTTAGCATACTTAAGATATTAAAAAATGTCAGAAGAAGTAAATCTACTTAATTTTAAACTTAAAAAAACGTTATTTTTAACTTACCTTGCAACTCAGGTCCAACAACGGTTATCAACGCGGACAGCAACCGGCCGATGCTACGGTGAAGATCCTCCTGGTACGGTGGCGAACTGAACAACAACTTCAGAGCCAGGTTGAGGGTCGATTCCACATGGCCACGGAACATAGGTCCAGACGCATCCACCAGAACCGATAACGCGTGCAGAGACCAGACCTAAAAGTACTACATGTTCAAGTAATCAATATCTTTTTAACTGAGAAGCTATGATGATGCAGTTGTTCGCGACGGCCTAACAACGTTAAGAAACAAAGTGATGAAAGAATATTGGTTTGTATTAAAAGTGAAATTACCAACGAAAACGAGTAAATAGTTTGTTAATATAGTTTTACAGCATGTTTATAACTCTTAATATATTTGTATACAATGTAGTTTTGATAATAGTTAGTATAAACAACTTTAATTGTATAAGAAAAAATCGCCAATCACAGCGCGTCGTATCGTAGAACTTTCTAGAAGTTTTAATTAACTGCGTAATAGTTGATACTGAAAATAATGAAAATAAGAAAATAATTTATGTTCCGAAAGAGTTATAAATATGATATTGAATTAGCATAAGGTATATAGATTAAGGAAGTGAAGGAATATTTTGTATAATTAAACGCATTTGGTAGTTATAGAAAAATTAAAGAATTAATGTACCCAAATGTTATGAAAATTTGGGACCTTTCGTTTAATAACTTTTTTAAATATTAATGTATTGAGTAACCTTTATGATATACTAATAAAGGACCAAAATGCCGATTTAATGATGTATAACATGTTACTGTAGAAATTGATCTTGTATAGAAAATATTGTAATTTATGCGAATTGCGTAGTGAAAATGTTATAAAATAAAGAGGCAAAACGGAAAATGGCAAGCGGCTCACTGTAAGGTATAGCCGAAGTCTACCTTATGGGCTCGGGACCCAGCAACGTTGTAGTGTGAAGAACTAGCAGTGACAAGCAGTAGTATCCGGTAGCAGCTGAAGTGACTAGCAGCAGTATATAGTGAATAGTGAAAGTGTTAGCTAGCCGAAAAGGTGGTAACTGAAATTCTCAATTACATATAGTGAAAAAGTGTTAGTTAGCCGAGTAAAGTGGTACTGAAATTCTCAGTTACATATAGATGAAAAAGTGTTAGTTACCCGAAAATAGTGGTAACTGAAATTCGCAGTTACATATAGTAAAAAAGTGTTTAGCTAGCCGTGCTGGGTTCAAAGTTTACAAGAGATAGAAAGTGTGAGAGTGATATCGAAAGAAGAGTGAATGCAGGAAACATGGTGAATGGAGCTTTGCACTCCTTTATAAGCAGTCGGAAGGTGTCTAACAAAGCTCGTTTGGCTGTGCATGAGGGGGTGTTGGTTCCGACACTCATGTACGGAAGTGAAAGTTGGGTATGGCAGAAGAAACATGAAAGCAGATTAAATGCAGTTGAGATGAGAGCATTAAGAAGTATGATAGGAGTTAAACTGAGTGACAGGATAAGAAATAGTAAGATAAGGAAACGTTGTGGTCTGAAAGAAGATGTAGTGACAAAAATTGAGAAAGGTATGCTAAGATGGTTTGGCCATGTTGAGAGAATGAATGAAGATAAGGCGAGTGTGAATGAAAGTGTTGGAAGGGGTAGACCTAGGCGGACATTTCTAGACCAAATCAGGGACGTATTGAAAAAAGGCCAGGTCAAGAGTACACTATACCGTAGAGCGTGTATGAAGGGAATAATGAAAGTGGACGAAGCGAAACAAGTATGTAAAGATCGTAGCAAGTGGAAAGAAGTGGTCTCTGCCTACCCCTACGGGAAAGAGGCGTGATTATATGTATGTATGTATGTAAAAAAGTGGTAACTGAAATTCTCAGTTACATATAGTGAAAGTGTTAGCTAGCCGAAAAAAGTGGTAACTGATATTCGCAGTTACATATAGTGATAAAATCAGCTAGATTTAGTTGATAATAGCTGCTAGTCAGTAGTGTTAGAAAACCAGCTACTACCAATGGATATTTTGATACTACCGAACAATTTAAAGAAATCTTTTGAAATATATAGTGACCAACCGATAGTGAACAACCGTAGTTGAACAACCGTATTCGACAACCGTGGTCACTAAACAATAGTTATAAAATTTCGCGACTAATCGATCAGTCGAACCGCTGGCCACTACATTGCTATTTGTATTTATAAATCGTGCATTTTAATTTTGAACCTCAGTCCACAGTTTTCCAGCAGCACACACAGAGACGGCAGTAGAAGTATCCTCCGGAACCTATAGGTGTAGGACGTGAGCGACTCGCGGAGTATCTTCGACAACATTTACTCCAGAAAGTTTCGCCCGTCCGGCACAGCAGTGATGTGATTATTGGTATGTTTTAATGTTAATATAATATCGTTGACCAATTAAATTACACTTTTTACATCCAGAGGAAGTAACGCTTGAAGAATTATTAAATTATATGATGAAGATCGAAATTTAATCACCTTGCATGATATAAGGTCAATGCGGTGGTATTATTCTATAAAACCAGTTATGCAAATTATAAACTAACAAAATTTATATATATATTATACAGTCATTTCTAAATATATATGGTAATATAAATGCGAATGAGAGAAAAATCGTTTTGGAACGAAAGTGACCTGCAGCTCGACTGCTGCCGAGTCCTGCGCCAATGCTCTCAACACCGGCAGCGCTGCAGCGCTGGAGGCAGCCCCACGCGCCCGCTGCACGGCGCCCACTGCAGCCGCTGCAGCAGCTCGTACCGGCCTGTTTGCCGACGTCCGCGCCAGAGTAATAACGCGTTCACTCAGCGCTTGAGATTCTGCTTCCGACACGCAACCGCACAGTCTGCCTGCGCAAGAAGCAGCTGCAGCCCGGACTGTTGCACTGTTCGCTGATAGACCATTCTGAAAAACAAATTAAATGCCAGTTTCAGTAAAGAAAATAGGGTTTGCTTTGTTTGACACATTAGTCCTCCGAGCCGGATGTTTTATTAATTGAATATAACGCCCAAATTGTTATTTTAAAAGATTTATTATGATTATTTTAAGGTTCAGGAAAAGTGGTATTCATATGTGTTATTAATAGACTATCTTAATAATTCATATTATAATGACAGAGTGCCATATACTTAAATTAAATTATAAATTAAAACTTACAATAATAAGTTCAGTAGCAATATTCTTCACGGCTTCCTGTCCCAACGAGCTCTTTAACTCTGCCAACGTACGCAGGGCTAACAACAGAGCGGTGTAAATGTTGATTTGAATAGCCTCTTGACGAACTCCTTTTGACATCTTTATGCATTCAGCGAAATGCTCTAGCATTTGTTGTCTGCAAAAGCACATGTTTTCTTAAAAACAACAGTAGTAGCTGTGCTTAAAATCACAAGATTAATGTACAATGTAACATTGTTAGAACAACTATGGAGCTTGGCATCCGTTCAGATGCCAACTCTTATCGACTAGGCCGACAACCCCAAACATCATTCCTTCATTTAGAAAAAAAATCTATTACATAAAATGTAGAAATAAGTTGCTTCTTCATATCATTTCTCAAGATGGTGGCATCCTGTAGTGGCAGTGTAAGAATATTCCCTACCCCACATAGTGAGAGTAAGAGATCGTAAGCGCCGACAGAGGGGACCAAAGCAGGAGATGGGCAGCAGCATCTTCCTAATATTATTCGCTCGCTGTAAGCTTCACAGTACTCGAGCAACCCGGGTTCGATCCCCGCCGGCACCAATGAAATTGTTAATTGCAATTTTAAATACTGATTTACCACTTGCTCGGCGGTGAAGGAAAACTTCGTGAGGAAACCTGCATGTCTGAGAAATGATAAAAAAGAATATTTCGAAGACATTTGAAGTTCGCCAACACGCAATGGGGCAGCGCGGCGGATTTCCTTGCCCTAAAACCCTCTCAGAAATGAGAGGAGGCGTGTGCCCAGCAGTGGGACGTAAATAGACTGCAAATTTACTTTACTTATCTTCCTACTCGTAATAAGCCGTAGTAATAATGACAAAGCTCACCTCTAGTATAATTGATTACGGTAATGGTAATCTAACTAAATACATCATATTCAACGTTCTTTTTCGCGCTTACATTTTACGGATTATTATTATTTATTTAAGCTATAAGAATGGAAGGACGACAAAGTTTTTGGTGCGGTTAGTTTTTTTTTTAAAGAACAAGGGGAAGAACGACATGCGGCGTGCCTGAAGGTAAGTGTTGACCGCCACCCATTAACAACTGCAATACTAGAGTAATTGCAGGTGCGTTTCCGGGCTTTTAAAAAGGGTGTAAGCTCGTCTCTTGAATGTCTTAAGTCGTATCGGTGCGGAAAAATCGCCGATGGTAAACGATTTCACAAAGAAGTCGCGCGAGGAAGAAAATTCCTGGTAAATTGCACAGTGGTGAACTACCAAGCATCAAAGTTAATTATTAAGGTTGTGCTTAAAATTAGCTGCACCAATAACTTTGTCAACACCTGTCGACACTGAATATCGATATGGTGTAGTTTTTAGAATTTTGTCGTCTTTTTAAGTATAATGATTTACCTTGACACATAATTTCAATTCAAAGTGTTCCGTTTTTAATTGTAGGTATTCAAGGGGTACTTATTAAGTATGTAAAATTACAGATATTCATAATAATTCACATAAAGATGTGAATTATTCCTTTTCGGGACTTAGCTAACACATTGCCGTGTGTATAGATTTAGACAGAATGACAGATTTATCAACGAAACTACATTGACATATTTAAGTAATGTGTCACAAGACGATACAAGGTGGAACAGGTGAGTACCTGTGCTTGTTGGCCGCCCTGGAGAATATGTGCGGGAAGAGCAGCACGGAGGCGTCGATGACGGCGACGCCCAGCGGCTGCGCGGCCGGCGCGCTGCGGTACAGGCAGCACGGGTCGTGCTCCAGCGCGCCCGACCCGCTCGCGCTCAGCGCCGAGATCAGCTGCCGCACACGCACACGCACACACATCACTCATTGGAATTATTAAACGTACGAACATTTCATTTATTCATACATACATATATCCATGCATACATACATACATACATGAACTCATCGTCAGGAAGTCACCAATTTGGTCGACTAATTTCCGTTTAGGGCGCAATTGCTAACTCTGCCACTCACTTTTGAAGTATAACTTTGCTTTGTCACTCTTTTATCATTCATTTATTCAGTCATTTTTATTCATTGCTAATGAGAATGGCATTAAATATTTTGAAAGTGAAATTAAAACCTATTGCTAACTAGTACCTGTTCTTCTATATCAGCATGATCCGTATCATAAATCCAGCTTTCTTCACCTAATAGTATGGTATCTCGAGGGTGCATGGCATTTCTCAGCATACCTGAAAATGAATTTCATTTTAAAATTTTATTTCTAAAATCGCTACGTTATTTAAATTATAAATTATTCATATATTGAAGAGCCAGGCTAAATAAGGTATGTATGAAAGGCCAGGTAGGAGCGGGATTATAGGTCGACTCAACCGGAGAAGGACACTTCTACATAATGAAAATGATGTGTTAGCTAGTTTGAAGAGTAAATTTTAACATCTTTCAGTTACTGTTTTTAGGGTTCCGTAGCCAAATAGCAAAAAACGGAACCCTTATGGATTCGTCATGTCTGTCTGTCTGTCCATCCGTATGTCACAGCCACTTTTTTCCGAAACAATAAAAACTATGCTGTTGAAACTTGGTAAGTAGATGTATTCTGTGAACCGCATTAAGATTTTCACACAAAAATAGAAAAAGAAAACATAAGTTTTGGGGGTTCTCCATACTTAGAACTGAAACTCAAATATATTTTTTCATCAAAACCATACGTGTGGGAAATCTATGGATAGGTCTTTAAAAATGATATAGAGGTTTCTAACATCATTTTTTTCTAAACTGAATAGTTTGCGCGAGAGACACTTCCAAAGTGGTAAAATGTGTCCCCCCCCCCCCTGTATCTTCTAAAATAAGAAAATTATAAAACTAAAAAAAATATATATTATATACATTACCATGTAAACTTCCACCAAAAATTGGTTTCAACGAGATCTAGTAAGTAGTTTTTGTTTTAATACATCGTAAACCGCAATTTACCTTTCATTCAATCAACTCAAAATAAAAAAATACACTTTTATTAAAACATGGATCAAAGTTACAACGAACTACAAGAACTTTTATAAAATGTTACTTGCTGCTACGGAACCCTTCATGGGTGAGTCCGACTCGCACTTGGCCGCTTTTTTTTGCATAGTAATGCTTGGTTCTATTAATTAAAACAGGATAATAATAACCTCCTAATTGTTGCTGTTTCTTCTTAGTAGAGGTTATTTTTGTAGCAGAAGTATGAATATGTGCGCTTTTGTGCGATTGCGTATTCGTTTGTCATATTTACTTTTAAAACATAAGTATGCAGTGTGCGACGAGTACGGCAGTGATATAGCCATCTCGCTTACGCCAAGCGAAAATTACCCAGTCGACGACGGGAAATAACGGCAAAAATACAAAACGTTTTAGTACTACGATCGTCAATCCGCCGTATAGCGTGACGATTAAAGCTGAACGCACATTTGTCCGAACCGTACGCGCCGAATTTTAGAATTCGTTGTATGAAATCATATGAAACCTCGCACATTACACCCGCACCGTACGCGCCGACTTTTATAAAATTCGGTAGGTATCCGAATATTAAAGGACGCATATGCTGATGACGTCATATAACGCGGTGCGTTCGGCGCGTGTTGACACTTAGTGTTGTCTAATGTTGTATTTTTATAAGTTTTAGTTAATTCGTATTTTTTTTAATTATACATCATTTGAAAAAAAAATTGCATCGATTATCAATATGAATACTTAGTGATAAATTATTTAAATACTGAACTAAAAAAAATTGATAGTTTTTTTTTATAGGATAAGGGTGACAAACGAGCACACAGTCCACCTGATGGTAAGTGGTTGCTGCGGCCCATAGACATCTACATCTATCCTCTATTACAAATCAAAATGTAGATGCGTTGTCACCCGTGAGGATTAAGATGGAATGCCTCATTTCCAGTAAAAAGGGCCTCAGGTCACCTGCACTCACCAAGCGAAACGCAGAGGTAAACCTCTACTTCACGCTGGTTTTCTGTGAGGTCGTGGTACCATCCCGGTTCGAGCCGGCCCATCCGTGCGACAGCAAAAGCTGCCGCGTGGCTCTACCACTGTTAATTCTAAAATCCAATTATGCCTGATTACTTAATAATCATTAAAAATACTTATCTCAAACATACAACAAGTCTTTTCTCTGGTTCAAGTGGCCATCTAAATCTTGAGCTTTCCATAGAAAGATATGGTAAAACCATAAATATATATATATATATATATATATATAGAAAAAACCATAAACATAAGATAAACAACCAAACCGTATATGTAGCAATTCTTGAAATTTCTTGTATGTTAAATGCAAATATCTAAAAAATCGTTTATCATCATCTAATAATTCTCCATACAATTAAATTAATATTATGAATCCAGAATTTTTTTCTTCGAATTTTATTTTCTACTTTCTCTGCCAATAAGCAGGCTATTACTATATTTATTCAATAGTGATTTCCAGCGATCAATGTGTACAGTGAGATTGATCGCTGGAAATCGTTACACACCAGTGCAGTGGTTGGAAAAAACTGCAAAAGTTGTTGGCAATGCAAAATATTTGCGTACGGCGCAGACGGTGCGTACGTGCAAATGTACGAAGCCATCAGTAAAATTCGGCGCGCACGGTGCGGACAAATGTGCGTTCAGCTTAAAGCAAATCCTTAATAAAATAGGAGAGATTTACGTCCAGCAGTAGGCATTTACGGGGTGATAAAGATGATTATGATTACAAGTAGCATCAACGTTTTCTGTTTATAGTATAATTAGTTTACATATTAGTTTAGATAAATTAAATAGTAAATTAATAAATGTTTATTATACTCATTGAGCTGTACTACGTACTAGAGAAGCCTTTCTAAAAAAAAAAATGTGTACTACTCTCTACTGTCTTCGCGCATGCGCGGGAGATAGTAAAGTCGCGCATGCGCAGTTGATTTAAGCGCGTTGCGCCTGCGCGGTTAGTTTATATAAAGTAATATATTTTTTCTTTTGTAATATTACGATATTATTACCTATTTATTCACTTGAACAACAAATCATTTTACTTACTTGACTACTGAATTGTTATTTACGTCCAAGTTTAAACTTTTATTTGAAATATTGTATTATTAGCGCCGCTCCACAGTGCATGAATATTGAAACCACAAACTAACTAGTAGATTGAAACCACACTAAATGACATACTGTACGCATTGCAGTACAGTTCAGTTGAAAATAGTGTATGTTCGGAATGCGCAATCTAGTACGTAGTACATATATATCGATGATTATTTGTTGTCGAATTATTGATTTTTTTTTCTATAGAAAGTGTAATATTGTAGTTTAGTAGAATTTTATAAAGAAACGCATTAGATTAAGTAGTTATATTCAGTTGTTAAATGTGTATATAATATGTAATTGATAGGGCACTTAGTTGAAATCAAAGAGATTTAAATATATAGGTATACTATAGAGCGGACATTGGGAACATTTATATACAAAAACTTTGAGCTAGTGCGCGTGTGGCACCCTCTAGCTAAAAATAGCAAAACAATGCTAAGCATTTATTAAGAGAACATTTTAGCTATTCCCCAGTAGGTGACGCTAATAAATATAACCTCCTTTTAGGAATGTACCGTTTCGATATCAAAGTATCGATAATGTCGTTGAAGATTACTAAATGCTTTTCGATATAATAATAATAATAGGGAATATACATTTTTTTTTTTCAATTTATTAAACTTCGGACCACAAACAAGTTCACAATTATCAAGTTATCTAATGTAATTACTACACATTTTTTATTATTATGAACTCAGCAACGCTGGTCACTAACTTAAGTATTACAATTTTTAAAGATAGATGAAGCTTGTTACATAGTATACATTGACAATGTTTTGTTATTTTTAAATAAGAAACTTATTATCGACTAACAAGTATTGTAGGGTTATTGTAGGATATATTACACCACTGCTTAGTTACTTAGTTTTTTTTCTAAATAGACGTGTCCTATATTCCACTATCTATTCAATGACTACTTGTTTAAGTTTTTCAGTGACAATCTTCTTATAATTATCACGTCCTGTGACATTGATATCGATAGCATTGAAATTCTCATTGTACGAGTGCATCATACGTAATAAAGAGAACCTTCGTCCCGCGTTTGTCCGACATAAATTGGTTGAAAAAAGTTTATGAGAATGGGCCACGCGCTGATGTGCTCTGGTAGGTACCCTATAATTTATATTCTCAATTATTTCCATACAGTCGTATCTATTATGACACAGATCATAAAACAACATTGCTTCAAGAATTATACGCCTTGATTTAAGAGTAGTGAGGTTATACTCTGCCATGAGTTCATTATACGGTTTTTTCTTTCTGGCATATTTATAATGGATACATCTAAGAAATTTTTTCTGCACAAGTTCTAGTTTATCAATATATTTTTTATATAGAGGATTCCAAATAGCCACTGCATACTCCAAATGACATCGTATTAAGGATCTATAAAGGTGTAAGTAAGTCAAGGGATTTTTAAACATAATACCAGATCGGATAACGAAACCATACATCTTATAAGCTTTGTTAATAATATTTTCAATATGTATGTCTAGATGTAATTTAGTGTCTAAAGTTACTCCAAGATCCCTGATTGCCACTTCTTGAGATAGGGGGTACCACATAAATAATAAATGCAGGAGCTGGTTTTTTTCTTTTTTGTAAAAGTTATAGATTTACATTTATTAAGATTGAGTTCTAACTTATTTTTGTTACAGTACGATGTGAAACGGTTTAAATCATCCTGTAATTCTAAGTGGTCATTAGTGTTTTTGATAATTTTGTATACCTTCAAATCATCAGCATATAAAAGGAACCTACTTGAACGGAAGCACTCATTAATGTCGTTTATAAATATTATAAATAGAAAAGGACCAATAATAGATCCTTGTGGCACGCCTGAAGTAATCGGTACACATTCAGATTCGTGACCCCTTATAACCACTTTTTGCATTCTGTTTGAGATG